TATTTGTGTAGAGTGTATATATATATACACTCTACACAAATAGAAACTCGGCAAGCAATAGTACTTATCATGTTCAGTTAGTAAATATTTAAATTTTTTAGGAGTTAGTTTAAGTTAGAGATGATTACACTGCATTTTAACTGAATATTTTTCTATAGCTTAATCTGACTACATTTTGACTATTGGCAGGCTTGAGATAAAACAAGTAGTTGAAGGAGGCCATCATGTTCCTGGGATTGTTGAAGCTCGAGTGACCAATGTGAATGAAGTATGGGAAGTCCTTCGGACTGGCAGTAATGGAAGGGCGGTTGGATCAACTAATGCCAATGAGCACAGTAGCAGATCACATTGGTTTGCTTTCTTTTTGCACCTCATTCCATTTAGGTGGCTTTCATCAAAGGAGGACTAATGCTGAGCACTTGCGTGTTTTCACAAATGCAGCATGCACTGTGTAATGGTGAAGGGAGAGAATCTAATTAATGGTGAATGCACAAGAAGCAAGCTATGGCTTGTTGACCTAGCAGGAAGTGAGAGAATAGCTAAGACGGAAGTACAGGGCGAAAGGTTAAAAGAAACCCAGAATATTAATAGATCGCTATCCGCACTTGGAGACGTGATATATGCTCTTGCTACCAAGAGCCCACATATTCCGTTCAGGTATAGACGGATATATGCTCATTGACGACTAAATATCCAAAAATGTGTTCATTCTCTGACAACTCAAGTCTTTAGATGGGGGTTCAAGTCTTTTTAATGTCCACTTATAGCAATCCATTTTATGATTCCGGTTTCTATATTTATCTATCTAAATCTTCTTTCGCCATTACAATGTAGGAACTCCAAGCTTACTCACTTGCTTCAAGACTCTTTAGGTAATACTTGTATATGCATAAAATTTATATCATTTCAGATTACATAGTCTGAATGGAAGCTAAAAATTCTGGATTCCTATCTACAGGAGGAGATTCAAAGACGTTGATGTTTGTGCAGATCAGTCCCAATGAGAATGACCTGACCGAGACTTTTTGCTCGTTAAATTTTGCAAGTAGAGTTAGAGGAATAGAGCTAGGTCCTGCAAAGAAGCAAATGGACAGCACTGAGCTCTTCAAGCACAAACAAATGGTAATAGTATTAAGTCTAATACGAAAGAGTACTTCTAATGTAGAGTTTGTACCTTTATCCTTAAATATAGGTTTTCTATGAAGGTAGAAAAACTTAAACAAGATTTGAAGAGTAAGGATTTTCAAGTTAAGAAGATGGAGGATTTTAATCACGGTCTTGAGGTGAAGATAAAGGAAAAAGACGCGAAAAACAGAAACTTGCA